TTTCCTTGGAAAGTCACTGGAAATTTTTCTTTGCTCATTTTTTCTCAATCATCAACTGCTTCTTCTCTTTCCCTCAACAGATGGACCACAGATCAAATCCTTAGAGGATGCCATCTGGGTTTTCACACCTGCACATCACAGAGAGAGTCCATAAATAACCCCATTTACCAATCCCCTTGACTAGAGGAGGCTGAAATGCAGAGCAGAGCTGAAGACATTCAGTAAGCCCAGGAAACTGAGAAAGGATAAGGTATTTCTACACGAATTATACATTCAGACCCTTCACTTCCTCTTACCACACTCCCTTGAAGCTGCAGAGAAACACAGCTTTCACTTCCCTAAACAAAACTTTGCATCCAGATACACACCACCTGCCAAAGCCAGTGCACCACCACACTCTCTCCCATACAGCTTCACCCTCATACACACACCTTTCCACTGAGGTCCAACCTCAGCATGCTGCACCTGCAAAAGCATGTCTCCTACGCAGGTAAGTGCTTGAAATCAGATTCCTCAACAATATGCTCAGTGAATGAACTCACAGCTAAGTTACTAACATCTAGATCTCAGATGGGGACGCAGACACAGGACCTGTGACAAGTTAGGAAGGATGCCTGCATTGTGAACCTAAATGATACTCAAGCTCAATATCCTTTTCCCATGATTTTCTAAAGGGAAATAAATGGAACCTGCTCTTGCCCCAATCTTTCTGGTCCACACTTCCTTAGATAATCACAGAGTAGCGAGTATCTTACAACAATCATTTTAAATCTTCCATAGAAGGCACGAATAGGCCAGAAAGTGCAGAAGATGTTAGTGACTACAGCTCTCTAAACTCTATCATCCAAGCTTCTTTCCCCTACCGTCACAGGTCAGTGCCAATGCTGAGGCCAAAACCATCCAGTGTCATCATTAAAAAATCTCAATGCAATAGATTATGATAATATCTGATTTTATACAGTTCTTCAGAAAGACATTCTTTACTTGATCTTCCCAATACTTGTGTAAGAAGCAGAGGAGGACTTGTTTTCTTCAGTTTACCGGTGGGAGAGCTTAAATGACCTGCCCGAGGACACAAAGCCAGGAAGCTACAAACCCGGGCCTTGGCCCTTGTCTTTGTACAACAAACCCAGTGGTATTACCACAGTCCCATTTTGCCTCTGGTCAAATAAACATTATGTATGTATTATTTCAAAATATTCTTATGGACAATGTGAGAATAAACCTGCCCTTTTAAAGAGTTTTGTATTCTCCAATAGATTTTACACAGTATCAACATTCTTCATAGCTTTGTAGGCTTTGGTTGATTTTAGCATTTTCAGATTTGACAAATTGGCATTATACAGATTGGCTACTCTTTCTCTGGCAATGAAAAGTACATCATCTGCATAACCTGCAAAGAATATGGTACCCTAACTGTGATTTTAAAAAAAAGGAAGTCAGAAGCAGATTTCCCATCATAGCCACCCACCAAAGGCGATGGAGGATAGATCTCTGCTGTTTTCTTCTTCACTCTGAGCCCAGCAAAAGAAAAAGGATAAAAGAATGGACAGTACACAAATCCTACAAAATTTTATCAAAGCACATATGACATAAAAATATCTTCCTCTCACATTTTCTAAGTGCATCAAAAAGGAGATTCACAGCAATACTATCTAGAATTGAGAAAATGTTTAGAAGTTATTAATTGTGAGAGCTCTAGAAATAGATGTATCTTTTCTGTGAAAATGTGTTAATTGTTTCTCCAGCTCTTCAGCCTTGTGTCCCTGGGGCGTCAGCATAAGCACCTGATGGACTCTGCTTGGGCTGAGCAATGAATTTGAGCCTGAACTTGCAGGTCACAAGCAATGTGATTTCTCCCTTAAAGATTCCCTCCGCAACTCAGAGTGAAAGTCAAAGTCCATTCTGTGGCCTAAGGATCTAGCCTATCTTGCCTATGCTACTTGCACCCCGGCTTCTAGTCCTCCAGCACAATAGCTTCTTTGCTGCTTCCCAAACCCATCAAGCAGGCCTGTGTCTCACAGCCTTTGCACTTGATGTCCCTCTGTCTGAAATGCTCTCCCCTTCTGATATCTGCATAGCTAGCTAGACTCAAGTCTTTGCTCAAATGCTACCTTCCCAGCAAGGATTTCCCTGGATCCCTGTTATAGGCTGAATTGTGTTGGCCTCCACGCCCCCAATTCACATGGCGAGGTCCTAACTTACCCTCAGCATCTCAGAATGTGACTATATATAAAGATAAGATCTTTAAAGAGGTAATAAAGTTAAAAAAATGATGTCATTAGGGTCTGCCCTAATACAGTACGGCTGTTGACCTTATAACAAGAGATGAGAGCACAGGCAGAGAGGGAAGACCAACTGAAGACACAAGGGGGCGCCATCTATAAGCCGAGGAGAAAGGACTCAAAGAACCAACGCTGCCACCATTGTGCTGTAAGACTTCCAGCCTCCAGAACAGTGAGAGAATATGTTTCTGTACTTTAAGCCACTCAGTCTGTGGTGCTTTGTGGTGGCAGCCCTCGCAAACTAACGCACTGCCCTAGTTAGATTTTACCCCACTCCCACTCCCCCTCTTTTTTCTGTTTTATTTTTCAAAGCCCTTATCATCATCCAACATATGATATATTTTACTTGTGCATTTTGCTTGCTATTTGTCTGCACTTGCTAAAATCTAAGCTCTTTCATAGCAGGGATTTTTGTCTGTTTGTTCATTGTTGTTACCCCAGTTCCACACAGTGACTAGTCCGTGCTATGTGCCCAATAGGTACTGTGGGTTATTGGAGACCGGAAGAGGAGGAGTTGGAAGAAATGTGGGGGCATTTTACATGAAAATAATTGACTCTGCTTTGGGAGAGCTTTTCTGGAAACTTCTTGACTCATTTCTGAGATTGAGCAGCCACAGGCAGCTCTTTATCTTCTAATTTTGCCTGAGACGTCTGCAGAGCCCACGATGGGCATCCCCTCCCCTGCGTTCATCATTGTTTCCCATCTTTCCTCTGCATTTTAAACCAAAGCGCAGGGTAGGAAGGCAGAAGAGCTGAACATCTGGGCCAGACAGGAGCCTCTAGCACAGCCCTGCATTGGCTGATGTCAGTGACTTTGTTTGCTCTGTATCTTCTGTCTCATAACCTCCTAAACACCACCTGTTCTCTTTACTGCAGTAAAATATGCCTGTGTTTCTTCGTATTGCAGTCCTAGGTGCTCCATTATGGTAGGAATCAACTAAGATGTCTCCTGTTCTTACAAAAAAAGTCTCAATGCAAATAAAGGGGACTCCCTAATTTCACCTCTTTGGAGCTCAGATAACGAGTAAAGATACTGCAGCATTAGGAATTGATATTAGACAAAAACAAGATATTAGCCTCATTTGAAAGAGATAGGAATTCAAGTATTGGACATATTAATGGACAGTAGGGTGACGTAAAAACACCAAACTCTGAATCAGGAGACACGAGAGCTAATCATAGTTCTGCAAATAAAATGCCTCATGAACTAAATTACATCAGTTCACTTCTCTGGGCTTGGTCTTTTCATTGGTTAGGGATGAATGATAACTATACTCTCTTTTGTCCAGAGTATATGTTGTTAGAAGATAAATATCTTATATTTTAGAAAAAATAGGGGAGTTATTCTGGGTATACAAATGTTTAATTCCATAAATATTCATCTTTAGTCAACGACAAAATTCTGTGACATTAGGTCAGATGGTGTCATTCCCAATTTAGAGATAAAAACTAAGGCACAAAAAGGCTTTGGAATTTTTTTCAATGCCATATAATGAGCAGACAGAAAAACTTGCAATGACTGCATTCATTGCCCTTTATAAATTGTGACTGCCCAGAGATGTAAGAGATTTGTTCAAAGTTACAAATCAATGTTATAGAATCGGGGCTAAATTCAGATTTCCTGGCATTCCTACTCAGAATTATTTTATGGATACATGTTATTGAGAGAATGTACATAATACTAGCTATCCCTGCACAGCAAGAGCAGAATCCCCTTCCAGTGTCTTTATTGGTGGCAAATCCAGAATACGTCACTTTTTGTATCTATCAGTACTTGCCATTCTGACCTGACCTCACATCCAGCCGTTATGCTGGTGGGTTGGAGGACTATACACTGGCTTTGCCACAGTTGAAGGCAGTCTCCTCAACAAGATACCTGATTTATCTCACACTTCCTTCTAGTATATCCACGTGAATGCTCAAATCGCTGTACAGATTCAATCATGCTATGAAGGCACATTCAAGTTTACCTGCCTCTTCATAGGCACTTCAGGTGATATATATACAGAAGTGATTTGGTGTATATTTGGTAAATAACAAATACAGACAAGAAAGTTAATGCATCATTATATCATTAACTCAAAACATCAATGGCATGTCACTAAGAATGATCAGAATTTAGTCTTTATTGAAGTTGTCAAAATGTCTAGGTACAGATCCAGTCATAGGCAGTGTAGAGGTTACAGTTCCATAAAGACACAGTCCTAGCCCAATAGAATTTTGTAAGATACTGGAAGTAGGAAAAATACATAATTAGAGATTACTAAGGACCGGTTTAGAAGGGGAAGGCTTCTGCGAAGTGGGGAAACTTGTATTAAAACTTAATAGAGAAGAGGAAAGTAAAGAAATAAGACTCCCTAGGTAAGAGAAAAGGTACGAATGAGAGGTAAGAAACATCCCATGATGTGGATGGACTAGAGGTCAATAAATGATGTGCAGGATGTAGAGGGAGACACGTCTGGAAGGATCAGTTTGAGAAGATTAATAAATGCTTATCTTGGTGCTTTGGATATAGAGCTCAAATCATTATTGTTCAACATAGAAATTAGCAGAAGTTTTAAAAAAATGAATTATCTGTGGTAGAGTCATTTCAGATGCTTATACAAGTAAAAAACAATAAATAGTTTTTCTGAGCCTAAAAAAGATTATTTCACAAAAAGATCTTTGTTTTATATAAACCAAATATCTGTTGTTACAGGGCAAGCATAACAATACTACTCAGAAAGAGCCCTTTGTCTGCTAGGAAGAATGTCAGATTCCAACCTCAGTGATAACCATCTTCCAGACACCTTCTTCTTGACAGGGATCCCAGGGCTGGAGGCTGCCCACTTCTGGATTGCCATCCCTTTTTGTGTCATGTATCTTGTAGCATTGGCTGGAAATGCTGCCCTCATCCTGGTCATTGTCAGGGACCATGCTCTTCATGCGCCCATGTACCTCTTCCTCTGCCTTCTCTCACTCACGGACCTGGCTCTGAGTTCTACCACTGTGCCCAAGATGCTGGCCATTTTATGGCTTCATGCTGGTGAGATTTCCTTTGGTGGATGCCTGGCCCAGATGTTTTGTGTCCATTCTATCTATGCTCTGGAGTCCTCGATTCTACTTGCCATGGCCTTTGATAGATATGTGGCTATCTGTAACCCATTAAGGTACACAGCCATTCTCAACCATGCTGTCATAGGCAGAATTGGCTTTGTTGGGATATTCCGTAGCATGGCAATTGTCTCTCCCTTCATCTTCTTGCTGAGGCGACTCCCCTACTGTGGTCACCATGTCATGACACACACATACTGTGAGCACATGGGCATTGCCCGACTGGCCTGTGCCAGTATCACTGTCAATGTTGTCTATGGGCTGACTGTGGCTCTGCTGGCCATGGGACTGGATTCTGTTCTCATTGCCATCTCCTATGGCTTTATCCTCCATGCAGTCTTTCATCTGCCATCTCATGATGCCCAGCACAAGGCTCTGAGTACCTGTGGCTCCCACATTGGTGTCATCCTGGTTTTCTACATCCCTGCCTTCTTCTCCTTCCTCACACACCGCTTTGGTCACCACCAAGTCCCCAAGCATGTGCACATCTTTCTGGCTAATCTCTATGTGCTGGTGCCTCCTGTACTCAATCCTATTATCTATGGAGCTAGAACCAAGGAGATTCGGAGTCGACTTCTAAAACTACTTCACCTGGGAAAGACCTCAATATGAATTCTGAGCAGAAGTTGGAGATTAAAAAAAAATGTATAGAATAGCTGTCTAGTACATTTACATGGACACACACCGATGATGTGAATGAAATGGTTTTACATGGCAGGGAGCTCTGGAAGGAAGAGGAATAGCCAGATGAATTGGAGCTATCAATGATCACATTGAACATACTATTTTTCTGAGGCTCCTTGGGAGACTGAATAACCCAGAAAGGTGATCATGTTCTCACACTTGTCTCAAAAGTGTCTATGACTTATTGAGGAGGAAGTCAATTCCTGGTCTTCAGGAATAGGGTTAAGCTCAGAGTTATTTGGTTAATAAATCTTAAATTTATAAAGGTATGCTAGGATTTATCTGCATGACTTACTCTGCAGTGTTTATTTGCTTTTGAATTGATTGATTGATTACCATTCTAATACTTCATCAGAGTGGGCATTTCATCTGTGCCTTGCACATAATAAGCACTCAATAAAATATTATGGGAAATGTGTTAGAGATTATACTGGCATGTATTATAGTCTTGGTTTATTTAATGAATAATGTCTTTATTACGCTAATGTGTTGGGTAATGAAAATGTATGTCTAGCACAGCGTCTGGCATACAGCCAGTATTCAGTAATTTGATTCTTGTTTATTTACATTGCATTGAGGCTGTTCAGATATAGTCACATCCTCAAGAATCAGGACAGAGAGTATTTTTATCTAGAAAAGCAATTATAGGAAAAAGTATCACAAGTTCATGGGTAAAGCAAGAGGGTGTCAGCTGTGGCCATGGAGAGCTCCTAGTTCAGCTGTGGAGGTGAATTCACGCACAAGGAGCTGTCACGGGGCAGAGGAGCTCAGAGGAGAAAAATCAGAGGGGTGGAACAGATTGGAAGAGAAGGAGGTATCAAACAATGGTGCAGAAAGGAGATAGCAAAGAGGATTACTGAAAGAGTTTGAGGAAGCTGGCGGTGATTACATTTCGAGGGGTTCTCAAAAGCCGGGCCCAGATGAGAAGATATGGGCAGCCCTTAAAATTTTGTAAGTCAGTTTCCACTGAAAATAGTGATAGATCAATGTCAATCAGTTGTTACTGAAGTTTGAAGTAAAGCAATGCAATGACTAACACAGAAAGACAAGACTTCCCAAGGTGAAACTTCCCTGATTACCACTTGTCAGCGTTCATCATCATCTTTCCCTAAAAAGGCATAAAATATGGTTTTACCTATGCACTAAAAATAAATTCAGCTTTTGAGTATAGATAGATTTCACCAGCCCTACAGCATCTGTAAATCATTTAGACTGTTGCATGAATCTGACCCTGCTAGAGCCTTAAACAGTCCTTCTCCTGGACCACTTTGAGAAGTGAGCTCACAGTTTGGCACATAAATCAGTGCAACTGCCAAACTGCAAAGAAGAGTTAGCACTAAGCCTGACTTCAGAATCTTGACCTATTAGGTAAACTTGTTCCTTTATCCCCCAAGTCTAGCTGTTTCAATTTGTGCTGAGGGAGACTCTGAATTCAATTTTAAGTAATTCAACACTGGTAAGGCCCTAAAGAATGACCCTGCCATGTTCTCCCCAATTCCATAGCACATCTCCAGAACCAGATTTCACTCTGCCCCACCAAGTCTGTCTGTCTCTCTTATAAAATACTTAAAAACACACACACACATTTTCCTGGGTATGTAAGATTCAAAAAAACAAAAAATAAATTTTCCCTCTGAGCTCTGAAGAAACTCCATTTTCTCTCTCTTCCATCTCACTCCATGTTATTTTACTTTATTCTGATGTGCTAACAATGGTCCTCAGCAGCAGAGAAACATTCAATTTGCTTTTATTATAAATATATTAATAGGTAATATCTTCATGTGATTTAGATTATTCTCTTACTTTTTTCTGAGATTCTAAACTCCTGAAGAGTTGGAACATAACTTATCCCTTTCCCTGTATAAGGCCAAGACAAGACACAGTTTCTATTCACTTGTTTCAAAGGAATCAATTGATTCTGACTATGGAGCAGCAGAGAGCCAAGATCACAAACTCTGAAATCCAAGAGTTCTTGTTCCTACATCTTTGTTAATCAGAAACTGTGACTTTAGGAAAATCACAGACCTTCGCTCTACCTGCTTCTTCCTCTGTGTAATGTTACATAACCTATCTTGGTTTTTAAAGAATCAATATAGCTGCTGTGTCAAGAATAGAGAAAAAACAAACAAAACAAAAAGGCAGGGGGTGGGGGGAGTAGAGAACCAGGATAGGAACAATGAATCTACTTAGAATGCTATTGCAATGCCAGCAATTTGCAGATTGGTAGCAATGAAAATGGTGACAAAGAGTCTGATTCTGGGTGTATTTTGAAGGTAACGCCAGCAGGATTTGATAACAATGGACTTTTGTCAAGAGAGAGAAGTCAAGGATGTCTGTAAGGTTTTTGGTCAGAGCACCAAGAAATGTGGATTTGCCTTCTGTTTGTTTGAAGACAGGTTTGTGGGAGAAAATGATTCGTTCATTATCTCTAAGGTATTGTAGAGGAAATGTCTCATAGTTTTGACTGCAAACGTCAGTCATTCAGTGAGGAGTCTAGACTAGAAATACAAATTTGGAACTCATCAATGTATACATGGTATTTAAAGCCATGCAACTGGGCAAAAACACCAAGGAAATGAGAAAAAAAATGGAAAGATAAGAACTCCAAAGTGAAGACGTCTGAGAGATGAGAAGGAATGAACAAAGGAAAGTGAGAAACAAAGGTCTTTGAGAGAGGAGTTAATTTTAAAATGTATAATGACTAGGAATATAAGGGGAAGTGTTTCAAGAAAGAGGAGGCGACCAAGTACATCAAACACAAGATTTACTCAAATATGGCTGTCAGGCAGGAATAATGACTGAAAAATGACCACAGCATCCAGCAACACAGAGATTTTTTGGTTACCCTAATAAGAATGGTTTCAAACTTTAGAGTGATATGGGCAAAGGCTTATTATAGTAGGTCTAAGGGGAGAGAGGAAAGAAATTCGTGTCAATGAACATGAACAACTCTTTGAGTAGTTACTAAAATAAAGTTTGATGGTAAAGGAAAGAGAGGAAGACTGTTCTTGAGTAGAAGGAATCTACACTTACCTTATGTGAAATAGTTGGATTTAGTAATTCCATCTACAGCAGCAGGAGAGCAGGTAGAATATATTGCCACCTATGTACATAAGTGGGTAGATGTGGAAGTGAAAATTTGTGAGTATTCTTTCTCACTATATCTGTTCTCTCAGTGAAATGGGAAGTAAAGTCTAGAGGAAAACATAAGAACAGAAAGAGAGGTGTTAGCATTTGCCTGAGCCAGGAAAAAATGTAAAAGAACTTGCAATCCCCGAAGGACTGCAGCGTAGACTGAGAAGACCAATGACAAAAAATCACGGGCTGTGCTACTAGTGTTAAACCCCACAAAAAGATTTAAAAAGGAGGCAGGCTAAGAAATACCCACTGGATTTGGCAATTAGGAGGCCATTGCTAATGTTAGGGAAGGTGATTTCCATGGAATGGGAGGGCAAATCCAGAAGCCAGTGGCAATAGTTAGAAGAATGAAACTGAGAAATTTGAGACAGAGAGTGCAGAGAAACATTTCCAAGACTGGAATGTGCAGGAAGAAAGATGTCCTACAGAGAGGAAAACACCAATGAGAAACGTGCAGTTTATTTAATGGTGACAGAGGATGACAGGCCCTGTACAACTCTGATCAGAACCTTGTCTACCTCATGAGCCTGTTGAGCCAGGGTCCTTACCACCTGATGCCGAGTCTCTGGGGCTGAGTGTGGAATGGGTACAATGGGCACATGTGAAACGATGCCTGGTCCTGCCTACTATACTCTGAACCCTGCTGCTCATAAGTAAGTGATGCCTTCAGTACCCAGCCCTGTACAGCTATCTTGAAGGAGTTGAGCAGCAAAGAAACATCTAGGGAATCACAAGAGTGGCGGCAATGACAGACAAGACTCTCTATTTTCGTCAGGAGTGGCCCCGCATTCCTTTTCCCTTCCCATTTGGGGAGATACTGTAAATAAAATTGTTTGGACACGTTCTGTGAAATTTAGTCATATTATTGTGGGGAGCAGTCTTTGAGTTGTGTTTTGGGAAATTAAAGCATTCATTGAGCATCACAGATATCAATTACTAATATTCACCAATCAAACTGGAGGTAGGGAGAGGAGAGCTTTTGGAGCACAGAAAGGGAAAGATAACTACTTTTTAATGAGTATGTATGTGGAAACTAAGGTGCTGTATGTTAAATATAAATATGTGTAGCTTTACAGAAATCTTTGCTAGTACCCAGTAGATAGCATCAACACCATCGTACAGATGGAAAAACAGATTCAGAGAGTTTCAATCACTTTAATGACTGACACTTAATATTCCTTGCTGTGTTCTAAGCAACCTCTGCTAAGATATTCACATAGATTATGTAATCCTTACAATAATTCTAAACTGTGCTCTTATTTCTTCTATTATTTAGGTAAACTGGACTAAAGATGTCAGGCAACCCATAGAAGGCCATTCAAGTAACACATACAGTGCTTCAGTTTGAAGTTAGCACACTTTTTTTCTCCAAAGCTCATGCTCTGGAGACTGAAAAGATGGAAATAGAAGTTTCATTCAAGATTTGAATGAAGGAAACCTATGTGTGTGACAAATTGGGAAAGGTATTTGGCTTCTCCCAGTCCTGTGTGTGTGAAGGGTGGGAGATTTTGGCATCAGACTCAAGAACCCGTTCCTGGGACAAGAGTGCTCAGTGAGTCTAGCACAGTAGTCCCCCCTTATCTGCCGTTTTGCTTTGTATGGTTTCAGTTACCTGTGGTCAGCCACAATCTGAAAATAAAGTACAAAATTCCCGAAATAAATATTCACATAAGTTCTATCATAGCACATTGTTATGATTATACTATTTGATGTTATTGTTTTTAATCCGTTACTGGGCCTGATTTCCAAATTTCAGTTTATCATAGTGTGCATGTAGAGGAAAGAAACATAGTATTTGTAGGGTTGGCACTATCCACTGTTTTAGTCATCCACTGGAAGTCTTGGAACACATACTCTGCAGATAAGAGGGGATGACTATATTTTACAGGGATGATATTGTGTAAGACTACGTATAAGGCACTGTGGCCCGGGCAAAACTTAGCAGAAGGCACTGAAACTGAAAGCCTGCCTACTTGGATATAGCTTAAATTTTCAGATAGGGTTTCTCTTTTGTTCCACTTAGGAAGAATCTACCACCTCTCTCAAAAGATTGCAGCTACAGCCTTTCTATTTGTCCCTCTACCATTAATTCTGTTACCCTCCAATCTCATTTTTTAACTTAGTTATAAAATGTAAATTGGACTATGTCATTCCCTGCTTAAAACCTTCAAAGTTCCCCACTGCCCTCAGGGTACATTCCCGAACACTTGAGGCTGTTATGTAAAGCATAGCCTTTATCACAGAATTCTAGCCATACTGGTTTT